CATTTCTGGAAAATTTGGGGTTTTTTGGAGCGATTTTGGGGCGTTTTCAGAACCGTTTTTAGTGGCGTTTCTCCATTCCGCGGTTGAGTTTTGTGGCGTTTTCAGGTGAGTTTTTTAGTGTGAATTCGTGGGTTTTTGGGGCTTTTTAGGATTTGACAATTTTGGGAAGGGATTTGGGGTCATTCCTGGAAAATTTGGGGTTTTTTTAAGCGATTTTGGGGCGTTTTCAGAACCGTTTTTAGAGGCGTTTTTTTCCGTTTTTGCTGTTGATTTTTGGTGTTCTCAGGTGAGTTTTTGGGGTTTTTCAGGTGAGATTTTGGGGTGAATTCATGGGATTTTGGGGCTTTTTAGGATTTTACATTTTTGGGAAGGGATTTGGGGTGGTTTCTGGAAAATTTGTGGTTTTTTGGAGCGATTTTTGGGTGTTTTCAGAGCCCTTTTTAGAGGCATTTTTGCATTTTCCAGGTGAGTTTTGGGGTTTCCTGGGTGGGATTTTGATGCATTCCAGGTGCAGTTTTGGGGTGAAGTTTTGAGATTTTGGGGATTTTTAGGATTTGGGGATTTTAGGAAGGGGTTTTGGGTCATTTTTGGGGAGTTTGGGGTTTTTTGGAGCTATTTCGGGGCGTTTTTGGGGCTGTTTTTAGAGTCATTTCTTCCATTTCACGAGTGAATTTTGGGTCAGTTCCCAGGTGAGTTTTTGGGATTTTTCAGGTGGGATTTTTGGGGTGAATTTTTGGGATTTTGGGGCTTTTTACGATTCGACATTTTTGGGAAGGGATTTGGGGTCATTCCTGGAAAATTTGGGGTTTTTTGGAGCGATTTTGGGGCATTTTCAGAGCCGTTTTTAGAGGCGTTTTTTTCCGTTTTTGCTGTTGATTTTTGGGGTTTTTCAGGTGAGATTTTGGGGTAAATTTTTGGGATTTTGGGGATTTTTAAGACTTGAGGTTTTTGGGAAGGGATTTTGGGTCATTTCAGGAAAATTTGGGGTTTTTTGGAGCGATTTTGGGGCGTTTTTAGGGCCACTTTTTGAGTCATTTCTTCCATTTCACGAGTGATTTTTGGGGTTCTCAGGTGAGTTTTTGGGGTTTTTCAGGTGAGTTTTTTGGGGTGAATTCGTGGGATTTTGGGGCTTCTTAGGATTTGAGGTTTTTGGGAAGGGATTTGGGGACATTCCTGGAAAATTTGGGGTTTTTTGAAGCGATTTTGGGGTGTTTTTGGGGCCATTTTTAGAGGCATTTTTGCTGTTGATTTTCGGGGCATTTTCAGGTGAGTTTTTGGGGTTTTTCAGGTGAGTTTTTTGGGGTGAATTTCTGGGATTTTGGGGCTTTTTAGGATTTCGGAATTTTGGGAAGGGATTTGGGGTCATTTCTGGAAAATTTGGGGTTTTTTAAGCGATTTTGGGGCGTTTTTGGGTTTTCCAGGTGAGTTTTTGGGGGGATTTTGGGGCGTTTTCAGGTGAATTTTGGGTCGGTTTTGGGGTGAAATTCCCAATTTTCCATCAGAATTTGGGACATTTTGGGCCAAAATTTCCAATTTTATGTCAAATTTTGGCTGATTTTTGGGACATTTTGGGTCAAAATTTCCAATTTTTAACCAAATTTTGGGGTTCTCATTCAAATTTTGGGACATTTTTGGGCTCAAATTTCCAAATTTTGGGTTTTCACTCCAATTTTGGGCAATTTTGGGTCGAATTTTCCAATTTTTTGTCAAATTTTGGGGTTCCCATTCAAATTTTGGGCCAAAATTCCCAATTTTCCATCAAATTTTGGCTGATTTTTGCTCAAAATTCCGATTTTCCATCATATTTTGGGATCATTTGGTTGATTTTGGTGTATTTTGGGTCAAAATTTTCAAATTTCCATCAAAATTTGGGGTTCTCATTCAAATTTTAGAAATTTTTGGCCAAAATTCCCAATTTTCCTTTTTATTTAAGTGCTTTTGGGAGATTTTCAGCCAAAATATCCAATTTTTTAAATGGAATTTTGGGGTTCTCACTAAATTTTGGGAGATTTTGGGCTGAAATTTCCGATTTTCCATTAATTTTTGGACATTTTGGCTGATTTTGGGTTGAAATTTTCAGTTTTCCATCAATTTTTGGGACATTTTGGGTTGAAATTTTCAATTTTCCATCAATTTTTGGGACATTTTGGCTGATTTTGGGACAATTTGGGTTGAAATTTTCAATTTTTGGGACATTTTGGCTGATTTTGGGTTGAAATTCCCAATTTTCCATCAATTTTTAGGACATTTTGGCTGATTTTGGGTTGAAATTTTCAATTTTCCATCAATTTTTGGATATTTTGGCTGATTTTGGGACATTTTGGGTTGAAATTTTCAATTTTCCTTTAATTTTGGGTTGAAATTTTCAATTTTCCATCAATTTTTTGGACAATTTATCTGATTTTGGGTTGAAATTTTCAATTTTCCATCAATTTTTGGGACATTTTGGCTGATTTTGGGACATTTTGGGTTGAAATTTTCAATTTTCCATCAATTTTTCGTTGTTTTTTTCCCAAAATTCTGATTTTTTCCCTTTTTTTTTCCACAGGGGCCGTTCCAGAGCCACCTCCTGGTACTCCCCGTATTAAAAACCCCCAAAATTCCCTTTTTTCCCCCCAAAAAAAAACTCCCAAATTTTGGGGTGGGGGGGAGGGGCCCCGCCCGCCCCTCCCCCACCCCTGACCGGACAAAAAAAATCCCAAATTTCTCTTTTTTTCCCCCAAAAAACCAAAAAAAAAGTTTGTTTTTTGCAGGTGGAGCCGGAGCCGGAAAAGGCGTCGGGGGAGGGGGGAAAAAATTCCAAAAAAAACAAAAAAATTAAAAAATTTGGGGGAATTTTGGGAATTCCGGGGGTGGGGGAGGGGCTGGAAGAGGGGGAGGGGGAGGAGGAAGAAAAAATTTAAAAATCCCAAAAAAAAAAAAAAAATTTTGGGGTCCCCGGGGAGGGAGGAGGGAAAAAAATAAAAAAAAAATAAAAAAATTGAAAAAAAACTTTGAATTTTTGGGTTTTTTTTAATGAATTTTTTTGATTTTTTTTCCCCCAAAATTTCCCCCCGAAATTTTTTTTCCTGAATTTTTCATATTTTGCAGCAAATTTTTCATTAAATTTTCCACAATTTTCCAATTTTTCATAAAATTTTCCACACTCTTCCAATTTTTCCCCCAAATTTTCCCATTTTGTCCAATTTTCCCTTTTTTCCTGAATTTTCCCCATTTTTTCCCACTCAAAATTTGCTTTTCCTGTGAATTTTTCTCATTTTGGAGCAAATTTTCCCATTTTCCCCTAAATTTTCCCCAAATTTTCTGTATTTTTAACTAAATTTTCCCATTTTCCCCCAAATTTTCACGTTTTCCCCCAATTTTTCCCCATTTTAGGCCAAATTTCCCATTTTTTCCTGAATTTCCCCATTTTTCCCCAAAAAATTCACTTTTTCTCTGCATTTTTCACATTTTGACCAAAATTTCCAATTTTTTCTTCAATTTTCTCCTTTTTTCCCAAAATTTCCACCGATTTTCCACATTTTGACCGAATTTTCCTCAATTTTCCTCTAAATTTTCCCTTTTGTAGCCCAAAATTTCCCATTTTCCCCAAATTTTTACCTTTTTCCCCAATTTTCCACGAATTTCCCCCAAAATTTCTCCTTTTTTTTCCCATTTCCCGAATTTTACCTGAAAAATTCTCCTTTTTTCCCAAAGTTGTCCCAAATTTTGCCCTTTTCCCCCCAAAATTCTCCTTTTTTCCCAATTTTTCCTCAATTTTCCCCAATTTTCCCCAAATTTTCCATAAATTCCCCCAAAATTTCTTTTTTTTACACAATTTTCCCCAAAATTCTCCTTTTTTTCCCCAAATTTTCCCCATTTTCCCCAAATTTCTTTTTTTTCCCGATTTTCCCCTAAATTTTCCTTTTTCCCCCCAATTTTTCCCCATTCCCCCCTCAAATTTTCCTTTTTTTGTCCAAATTTCCCCCAAAATTCCCCCAAATTTCTCCTTTTTTTCACAATTTTCCCCAGATTTTTCCCCATATTTTCCCCATTTTCCCCCAAAATTTCTCCTTTTTTCCCGATTTTCCCCAATTTTACCCCAAAAATTCAACTTTTCCCCCAAAGTTTTCCCAAATTTTCCCTTTTCCCCAAAATTCTCCTTTTTTCCTCAATTTTCCCCAATTTTCCCCTTATTTTCCCTAAATTTTCCTTTCCCCCCAAATATTTCCACAAATTCCCCCAAATTTCTCCTTTTTTACACAAATTCCCCAAAATTTTCCCAACTTTTCTCATTTTCCCCCAAAATTTTCTTTTTCCCCCCAAATTTTCCCATAATTTCTCCCAATTTCCTCAAAATTCTCCTTTTTCCCCCCAAATTCCCCCAAATTTTCCATTTTCTCCCCCAAAATTCCCCCCAAATGTCTCAAATTTCCCCCAATTTTTCCCCATTCCTCCCCAAATTTTCCATTTTTTCTCCACATTTCCCCCAAAATTCCCCCAAATTTCTCCTTTTTTTCACAATTTTCCCCATTTTTCCCCCAATTTTTCCCCAATTTTTCCCCATTTCTCCCCAAATTTTCCCCATTTCCCCCAAATTTTCCCAATTCCCTCCCATTTCTCCCCATTTTTCCCCATTTTCCCCAATTTTTCGCCCCATTTTTCCCAATTTTCCCCAAATTTCCCCTTTTTTCCCCCAAACTCCCCCATTTCCCCCTTTTCCCCCTCTCACCCAATCAGCGCTTCCCTCTCATTTCCCCCTTCTCCTTCCACCAATCACAACGCCCCTTACAACCCTTTTCCCTCCAACCAATCCGCACCCTCCTTTTGTTTTAACCACGCCCCTCCACCAATCAAATCCTTCCTTTTCTAAGCCACGCCCCTTTCAGGAAGCGCCATTAAGCCACGCCCCTTACGCTGTTGTAAACGGCGCGGTGGGCGTGGCTTGTTTGCCGCGCTGTGATTGGCGGGCTTGGCGCTGTGGGCGTGGCCTAACCCGGAAGTGCCGCTCGGGGGGTTCCATGGGCGGCAGGAGCGGAGGGGGGGGGGGGGAGAGGGGGGGAGGGGGGGGAGGGGCGGCCCGGGGGGGGTGGGGGAGGGGCGGGGGAGGGGGAGGGGGAGGGGGGGGAGGGGCTGGAGCTGCCCGAGCTGCGCGCGCTGCTCCGGAGGTGAGGGGGGGGAGGGGCGGGGGGGGACATTGGGGGTGGGGGAGGGGAGTTGGGGGTGGGGGAGGGGATTTGGGGTGGGGGAGGGGCCATGAGGGAAATTTGGGGAAAATTTGGGGGGTTTGGGGTGGGGGAGGGGCAGATTTGGGGTGAATTTTGGGGATTTCGGGGAAATTTGGGGGGTTTGGGGGAAACTGAGGCAGATTTGGGGTGGGGGAGGGGCCCTGAGGGGGATTTGGGGGGGTTTGGGTGGGGGAGGGGCAGATTTGGGGGGAATTTGGGGGGTTTGGGGTGGGGGAGGGGCCCTGAGGGAAATTTGGGAGAAATTTGGGGGGATTTGGGTGGGGGAGGGGCAGATTTGGGGAAAATTTGGGGGATTTGGGGGAAACTGAGGCAATTTGGGGTGGGGGAGGGGCCCTGAGGGGGATTTGGGGAGAATTTGGGGGAAATTTGGGGTGGGGGAGGGGATTTGGGGGGTGGGGGAGGGGATTTGGGGGGATTTGGGGGAAATTTGGGGGATTTGGGGGAAACTGAGGCAGGTTTGGGGTGGGGGATGGGATTTGGGGTGGGGGAGGGGCCCTGAGGGGGGTTTGGGGAGAATTTGGGGGATTTGGGGGGTGGGGGAGGGGATTTGGGGGGATTTGGGGGAAATTTGGGGGGATTTGGGATGGGGGAGGGGAGTTGGGGGGGATTTGGGGGAAATTTGAGGGGATTTGGGGTGGGGGAGGGGCAGATTTGGGGTGAATTTTGGGGATTTGGGGGAAACTGAGGCAGGTTTGGGGTGGGGGAGGGGCCCTGAGGGGGATTTGGGGTGGGGGAGGGGCCCTGAGGGGATTTGGGGGAAATTTGGGGAAAATTTGGGGTGGGGGAGGGGCGATGAGGGGAATTTGGGGGGATTTGGGGTGGGGGAGGGGCCCATGAGGGAGATTTGGGGGGATTTGGGGGAAATTTGGGGGATTTGGGGGTGGGGGAGGGGCCCTGAGGGGGATTTGGGGGAAATTTGGGGGGTTTGGGGGAAACTGAGGCAGATTTGGGGTGGGGGATGGGATTTGGGGTGGGGGAGGGGCCCCGAGGGGGGTTTGGGGGAAACTGAGGCAATTTGGGGTGGGGGAGGGGCCATGAGGGGGATTTGGGGTAAATTTTGGGGATTTGGGGGAAATTTGGGGGATTTGGGGGAAACTGAGGCAATTTGGGGTGGGGGAGGGGCCCCGAGGGGGATTTGGGGGAATTTGGGGTGGGGGAGGGGCCCTGAGGGGGATTTGGGGTGGGGGAGGGGCCCTGAAAGAAATTTGGGGGAAATTTGGGGGGATTTGGGGTGGGGGAGGGGCCCTGAGGGGGGTTTGGGGGATTTGGGGAATTTTGGGGGATTTTTGGGGTTTTTTGGGGTTTTTTTGTGAATTTTTTGGGATTTTTGGGGAATTGTTTTGGCATTTTTTGTTTATTTTTTGGGGCTTTTTTGGGAATTTTTGGGGACTTTTTTGTGGAATTTTTGGGAATTTTTTGGGTATTTTTTGGAAATTTTTTGGGAATTTTTGGACTTTTTTTGGGAAATTTTTGAGGATTTTTTTGGGGATTTTTTGTTGAATTTCTGGGGCTTTTTTGGGAATTTTTGTTGCATTTTGGGGGATTTTATTTGGGAATTTTTTTGACATTTTTAGGAATTTTTGGGGATTTTTTTGGGATTTTTTGGGATTTTTTGGGGCATTTTTGTTGAATTTTTGTGGCTTTTTTTGGAAATTTTTTGGGCATTTTTTGGGATTTTTTAGGGAATTTCTTGGAAATTTTTTGGGCATTTGTTGGGAATTTTTTGGGATTTTTTTGGCATTCTTTGTTGAATTTTTTTGGGCTATTTCAGTGAATTTTTGGGATTTTTTTTTGTGGAATTTTTGGAGATTTTTTGCCATTTTTGTGGATTTTTTCTGCAGTTTTTGAGAATTTTTTGTGGAATTTTTGGGCATTTTTTGGGAATTTTTGGGAATTTTTGAAAATTTTGGGGGGATTTTTTGGGTATATTTCGGCAGCGTTTTTTATTGAATTTTTGGGCCAATTTGGGGTGAATTTTGGGTGGATTTTTGTTGAATTTTGGGTGACTTTTGGCCATTTTTGGGGTGAATTTTGGGTGAATTTTTGTTGAATTTTTGGGTGAATTTTTGTTGAATTTGGGGTGAATTTTTGTTGAATTTGGGGTGAATTTCGGGTGAATTTTGCCCCTTTCCGGAACTCTCCAGGTCGGGGCGGGGGCGGCTCCCGGAGCCGGAATTGGACTCGGACTCGGAGCCGGAACCGGAACCGGAACCGGAACCGGAAGAGGAGGAAGAGGAGGAGGAGGAAGGAGGGGGAGGGGCCCCGGAGGCCTCCGGAGGTGGGGGCGGGGCTTAAAGGAGTTAATTTGCATAAAGGGGAGGGGCTTAAAGGAGTGGGAGGGGCTTAAAGAAAGAGGGAGGGCTGAAAATTTGATTAATTTGCATAAATGGGAGGGGCTTAAATGGGTGGGAGGGGCTTAAATAAAGGGGAGGGGCTTAAAGGGGTTAATTTGCATAAATGGGAGGGGCTTAAATGGGTGGGAGGGGCTAAAGGCAGTTAATTTGAATAAAGGGGAGGGGCTTAAATGGGTGGGAGGGGCTTAAATAAAGAGGGAGGGGCTTAAAGGAGGTTAATTTGAATAAAGGGGAGGAGCTTAAATGGGTGGGAGTGGCTTAAAGAAAGAGGCAGGGGCTAAATATGGTTAATTTGCATAAAGGGGAGGGGCTTAAGTGGGTGGGAGTGGCTTAAAGAAAGAGGGAGGGGCTAAAAGTGAGTTAATTTGCATAAAGGGGAGGGGCTTAAATGTGTGGGAGGGGCTAAAATGGGTTAATTTGAATAAAGGGGAGGAGCTTAAATGGGTGGGAGGGGCTTAAAGAAAGGGGAGGGGCTAAAGGAAAATAATTTGAATAAAGGGGAGGGGCTTAAAGAAAGAGGGAGGGGCTAAAATGTATTAATTTGAATAAATGGGAGGGGCTTAAATGAATGGGAGGGGCTTAAATGGGATTAATTTGAATAAAGAGGAGGGGCTTAAATGGGTAGGAGGGGCTTTAAAGGGGATGGGCTTTAAAGGGGGAGGGGCTTAAATGGGTGGGAGGGGCTTAAAGAAAGAGGGAGGGGCTTTAAGGGGTTAATTTGAATAAAGGGGAGGGGCTTAAATGGGTGGGAGGGGCTTTAAGGGGTTAATTTGCATAAAGAGGAGGAGCTTAAATGGGTGGGAGGGGTGCAAAAAAGATTTATTTGAATAAAGGGGAGGGGCTTAAATGGGGGAGGGGCTTAAAGGGGATTAATTTGAATAAAGGGAGGGGCTTAAATAGGTGGGAGGGGCTTAAAGGGGATTATTTTGAATAAAGGGGAGGGGCTTAAATGGGTGGGAGGGGCTTCAAGAAATAGGGAGGGGCTTAAATGGGGTTAATTTGCATAAAGGGGAGGGGCTTGAAGGGGGAGGGGCTAAATGGGAGGGGCCAACCCAAAAGGGGGCGTGGTCTGATCTGAAGCCCCGCCCCTTTTCTCCCTCAGCCGCCCCTCCCCCGCCCGGCCCCGCCCTGCAGGAGCTGTGGGCGGAGCTCGGGGGGGGCGGGGCCGGGGCGGGGCCCGAGCGGAGCCTCCCCAGGCTGGTGCGGCAGGTGGGGACTGGTTTGTACTGGTTTGTACTGGGAGGGACTGGGAGGGGAAAATGGGGGAAAAACGGGGAAAAAATGGCAAAAAAAGGGTTAAAAATGGGGAAAAATGGGGAAAAAAGGGTTAAAAATGGGGAAATGGGGATTTGGGGTTACTGGTTTGTACTGGTTTGTACTGGGAGGGGTTTGGGGGTTACTGGTTTGTACTGGGAGGGACTGGGAGGGGGAAATTGGGAAAAATGGGGAAAAAATGGGGAAAAATGGGGAAAAAATGGCGAAAAAAGGGTTAAAAATGGAGAAAAAATGGGGAAATGGGGATTTGGGGTTACTGGTTTGGACTGGTTTATACTGGGAGGGGTTTGTGGGTAACTGGTTTCTACTGGGAGGGACTGGGAGGGGGAAAATGGGGAAAAATGGGGGGAAACGGTGAAAAAATGGCAAAAAAAGGGTTAAAAATGGAGAAAAAATGGGGAAATGGGGATTTGGGGTTACTGGTTTGGACTGGTTTGGACTGGGAGGGACTGGGAGGGGGAAATTGGGGGAAATTGGGGAAAAACGGGGGAAAAGGGGGAAAAACGGGGTGAAAATGGTAAAAAAAGGGTTAAAAATGGGGAAAAAAGGGTTAAAAATGGGGGAAATGGGATTTGGGGTTACTGGTTTGAACTGGTTTGTACTGGGAGGGGTTTGGGGTTTACTGGTTTGTACTGGGAGGGACTGGGAGGGGGAAATTGGGGAAAAACGGGGAAAAATGGGGAAAAAATGGCAAAAAAAGGGTTAAAAATGGAGGAAAAATGGGGATTTGGGGTTACTGGTTTGTACTGGTTTATACTGGGAGGGACTGGGAGGGGTTTGGGGGGTCACTGGGAGGGAACTGGGACCATACTGGGTAAACTGGGATGAACTGGGAGTGACTGGGAGGGGGTTTGGGGTTACTGGTTTGTACTGGGAATGGGTTTGGGGTTACTGGTTTGTACTGGGAATGGGTTTGGGGTTACTGGTTTGTACTGGGAATGGGTTTGGGGTTACTGGTTTGTACTGGGAATGGGTTTGGGGTTACTGGTTTGTACTGGGAATGGGTTTAGGGTTACTGGTTTGTACTGGGAATGGGTTTGGGGTTACTGGTTTATACTGGGAATGGGTTTGGGGTTACTGGTTTGTACTGGGAATGGGTTTGGGGTTACTGGTTTGTACTGGTTTAAACTGGTTTATACTGGTTTATACTGGTTTATACTGGTTTAAACTGGTTTATACTGGTTTATACTGGTTTAAACTGGTTTATACTGGTTTATACTGGTTTATACTGGGAGCTGACCCCGCCCCTCCCCCCTCCAGCGCGAATGGGGGCGGAGCTTCACCCGAGAGGAGAGAAACCGGCTGAGCTCCCAGTAAGGAACTGGTTTGGACTGGTTTGGACTGGTTTGGACTGGGAGGGGGCGGAGTCACTGGTTTATACTGGTTTGAACTGGTTTATACTGGTTTAAACTGGTTTTTCACCATTTCTAAGTGGTTTGAACTGGTTCATACTGGGTTGGGAACTGGTTTATACTGGTTTATACTGGTTTATACTGGTTTGAGCCATTTTAAACTGGTTTATACTGGTTTTGAAGAATTTTAAACTGGTTTATACTGGTTTTTCACTGATTTAAACTGGTTTATACTGGTTTCAGCCATTTTTACCCGGTTTAAACCGGTTTAGAGCGGGTTTTGAACTGGTTTATGTTGGTTTAAACTGGTTTTAATCAGATTAAACCGGTTTGAACTGGTTTTCAGCCATTTTTAGCTAATTAAACCGGTTTATACTGGTTTTTCACAGAGTTAAACTGGTTTATACTGGTTTGTGCTGATTTAAACTGGTTTATAACCATTTTAAACCAATTTAAACTGGTTTATACTGGTTTGAAACGGTTTTTAACCATTTTTAACAATTTTAAACTGGTTTATACTGGTTTATACTGGTTTTGAATTATTTTAAACTGGTTTATACTGGTTTTTCACTGATTTAAACTGGTTTATACTGGTTTGTGCTGATTTAAACTGGTTTTTAACCATTTTTAACCATTTTAAACTGGTTTATACTGGTTTATACTGGTTTAAACTGGTTTTTAACCTTTTAACTATTTAAAACTGGTTTAAACTGGTTCGAAATGTTTTTTAACCACTTTAACCCAATTTAAACTGGTTTATACTGGTTTGAACCATTTTTTAACCATTTTTAACCATTTTTAACCATTTTAAACTGGTTTAAACTGGTTTATACTGGTTTGAAATGTTTTTTAACCACTTTAAGCCAATTTAAACTGGTTTATACTGGTTTGAAACTGTTTTTAACCATTTTTAACAATTTTAAACTGGTTTATACTGGTTTATACTGGTTTATACTGGTTTAAACTGGTTTTTAACCATTTTTAACCATTTTAAACTGGTTTAAACTGGTTTATACTGGTTCAAAATGTTTTTTAACCACTTTAAGCCAATTTAAACTGGTTTTTTCTGCTTTGAACCAATTTTTAACCATTTTAAACCAGTTTTTACTGGTTTTCAACCGGTTTAAACCGGTTTTTAACTGGTTTAAAGTGGTTTATGGTGGCTTTTAACTGGTTTAGACCAATTTAAATCGGTTTAAATTTAAATTTAAATTATTTAAATTTAAATCGGTTTATACTGGTCTGAGCCTTTTTAAACTGGTTTAAACCGGTTTTTAGCCGTTTTTAACCAGTTTAAACCGGTTTTTGGCCATTTTTAACCAGTTCAAACCGGTTTTTGGCCATTTTTAACTGATTTAAACCGGTTTTTAGCCATTTTAAACTGGTTCAAACCGGTTTTTAGCCATTTTTAACTGATTTAATTCGGTTTTTAGCCATTTTTAACCAGTTCAAACCGGTTTTTAGCCATTTTTAACTGATTTAATTCGGTTTTAACCATTTTAAACTGATTTAATTTAGTTTTTAGCCATTTTTAACTGGTTCAAACCGGTTTATACTGGTTTGAACCGGTTTTATCCAATTCAAACCGGTTTAAACTGCCTCAAACTGACTTTTAACCCGCCCTAAACCGGTTCATAACCGACTCAAACCGCTTTAAACCGCTTTAATCCCTTTTAAACCGCTTTAATCCCTCTGGGCGTGGCCGGGGAGGGGCGTGGCCTGTCCGAGGCCCCGCCCCTCAGGCCCCGCCCCCTCAGCTTCCTGCCCAATCACGCGGCGGCGCTGGAGCCACACCCACAGAAGGTTTTTTGCGCCGTCTTCGCCGACCGCGGCCGCCGCCTCCTGACCGCCTGCCAGGGTGAGACAATCCCCAAATTCCGAAATTTTGGGGCGAATTCACGGAAATTTGGGACATTTCGGGGAAAATTCCTGAAATTTTGGGGAAAACTGAAAAAAATTCGGTGAAAATCGCAAAAAATTTGGGATTTTTACGGCGTTTTTTGGGGTTTAAATGTCATTTTTTCGGTGTCAGGGTGAGGGGAATTTGCAAAATTCCCAAAATTTTGGGGCGAATTCCCAAAAATTTGGGACATTTCGGGGAAAATTCCTGAAATTTTGGGGAAAATTGCAAAAAATTCGGTGAAAATCGCAAAAAATTTGGGATTTTTACGGCATTTTTTGGGGTTTAAATGTGATTTTTTTGGGGGTTTTTGGTGTCAGGGGAGGGGAATTCGCAGAATTCCCGAAATTTTGGGGCGAATTTTCAAAAATTTAGAAATTTTGGGAAAAATTCCTGAAATTTTGGGGGAAACTGAAAAAAATTTGGTGAAAATCGCGAAAAATTCGGGATTTTTACATCATTTTTTGGGGTTTAAATGGGATTTTTCTCGGTGTCAGGGTGAGGGGAATTTGCAGAATTCCCAAAAATTTGGGGCAAATTCCCAAAAATTTGGGACATTTCGGGAAAAATTCCTGAAATTTTGGGGGAAACTGCAAAAAATTTGGTGAAAATCGCAAAAAAATTGGGATTTTTACGGCATTTTTTGGGGTTTAAATGTGTTTTTTTGGGGGTTTTTGGTGTCATGGTGAGGGGAATTTGCAAAATTCCCAAAAATTTGGGGCGAATTCCTGAAAATTTGGGACATTTTGGGAAAAATTCCTGAAATTTTGGGGAAACTGCAAAAAATTTGGTGATTTTTTTGGCTGTCCCAAATTTCTTGAATTTGGGACCCAAAAACTCCGATGTTTTGACGCAAAATCCCCAAACTTTGACCAAAAAGATCCCAAATTTCGACCCCAAACCTCCAATTTTTAACACAAAATCGCCCAAATTTCCATATTTTCGACCCAAAATTTCCAATTTTCGACCCCAAAACCCACAAATTTTTGATGAAAAACCCCAAATTTCGATCAAAAAAAATTCTCTAAATTTTGCTGTAAAATCCCCAAATTTTGACATAGAATCGCCAAATTTTCACATAAAACCCCCAAATTTCACCCCAAAATCCACAAATTTCACCCCAAAATCTTTAAAATCCCCAAATTTGGAACCAAAACTCTGAAATTTTGCCCCAAAATCCCCAAAATTCCTCCTATTTTGACCCAAAATTCCCCAAGTTTCGATCCAAAATCCCTCCAAAAACTCCCGATTTTTCACCCCAAAATCTCAAAGTTTTGACCTTAAACCTGCAAATTTTGACCCGAAACCCCCAAATTTTGACCCAAAATTGCCCAAATTCCCAAATTTTGACCCAAAATTCCCCAAATTCCCAAATTTTGACCCAAAATTCCTGAAGTTTCGACCCAAAATCCCTCCAGAAACTCCCGTTTTTTCACCCCAAAATCTGCAAATTTTGACCTAAAACCCGCAAATTTTCGACCCAAAACTCCCCAATTTTAACCCGAATTTTCCCCAAATTCCCATATTTTGACCCAAAACTCCCAATCTTTGACTAAAACTCCCCAAATTTCAACCCAAAATCTCCCAAATTTCTTGAATTTGGGACCGAAAAACTCTGAAGTTTTGACGCAAATTCCCCAAACTTTGACCAAAATTATCCCAAATTTCCACTGAGAACCTCCAGATTTTTAACCCAAAATCGCCCAAATTTCCATATTTTGGACCCAAAATCCCCAAATTTTGACACAAAACCCCCAAAATCTCCAAAATTCAACCCCAAAATCCCCAAATTTCCAGAAAAAGACCCCCAAATTTTGATCAGAAAAGTCTCAAAATCTTGACATAAAATCCGCAAATTTCCACTGAAAAATCCCCAAATTTCACCCTAAAGCCCTCAAATTTTGACCCAAATTTTCCACTTTTTACTCGAAATCCCAAAATTTACCAAAATTCGCTTTTTTCGCCCCAACCCAGACCATTTCCTGCGGCTGTTCGAGGTGTCGGGGGCGGGGCTGCGGCTCCTCCGCGCCACCAGGGGGCGCCAGGTCGGGTGGAGCATCCTGGACGTGGCGCTCGGGCCCGAAAACCCCAAATTTCACCCCAAAATCCACAAATTTCACCCCAAAATCCTCAAAATCTCCAAATTTGGAACCAAAACTCCGAAATTTTGCCCCCAAATCCCCAAAATTCCCAACATTTTGACCCAAAATTCCCCAAGTTTTGACCCCAAAATCCCTCCAGAAACTCCCGATTTTTCGCCCCAAAATCTCCAAATTTTGACCTAAAATCCCCAAATTTTGACCCAAAATTCCCCAAGTTTTGACCCAAAATCCCTCCAAAAACCTCTGATTTTTTGCCACAAAATCTCCAAATTTTGATCTAAAACTCTCAAATTTTGCCCCAAGAACCCCAATTTTTGACCCAAAATCCCCAAATTTCAACGCAAAATCCCAAAACTTTGGTGAAAAACCCCCAAATTTCGATCAGAAAAATCTCAAAATTTTGATGCAAAATCTCCAAATTTTGACCAAAAAAACCCCAAATTTTGACCCAAAATTCCCCAAATTCCCAAATTTTGACCCAAAATTCCCCAAGTTTCAACCCAAAATCCCTCCAAAAACTCCCATTTTTTCGTCGCAAAATCTCCGAATTTTTGACTTAAAACCCGCAAATTTTGACCTGAAACCCCCAATTTTTGACCCAAAACCCCCAAATTTCAACCCAAAATCCCAAAACTTTGGTGAAAAATCCCCAAATTTCGATCAGAAAAATCTCTATATTTTGACATAAAATCCCCAAATTTTGACCAAAAAATCCCCAATTTTCACCCTAAAACCCTCAAATTTCGACCCAAATTTTCCCCTTTTTTTCCCCAAATCCCAAAATTTCCCAAAATCCTCTTTTTTCACCCCAACCCAGACCATTTCCTGCGGCTGTTCGAGGTGTCGGGGGCGGGGCTGCGGCTCCTCCGCGCCACCAGGGGGCGCCAGGTCGGGTGGAGCATCCTGGACGTGGCGCTCGGGCCCGAAAACCACAAATTTCACCCCAAAATCCACAAATTTCACCCCAAAATTCTCAAAGTCCCCAAATTTGGAACCGAAATTCCCAAATTTTTCCCCCAAATCCCCAAAATTCTCCGGATTTTGACCCAAAATTCCCCAAGTTTTGATCCAAAATTCCTCCAAAAACTCCCAATTTTTTGCTTCAAAATCTCCAAATTTCGACCTAAAACCCGCAAATTTTTGACCCAAAACTCCCCAATTTTAACCCGAATTTTCCCCAAAATTCACCATTTTTGACTCAAAATTCCCCAATTTCAACCCAAAATCTTCCAAATTTCTTGAATTTGGGACCCAAAAACTCCGAAGTTTTGACACAAAATCCCCAAACTTTGACCGAAAAGATCCCAAATTTCGACTGCGAACCTCCACATTTTTACCTCAAAATCGCCCAAATTTCCATCTTTTCAACCCAAAATTTCCAAGTTTCGACCCCAAAACCCACAAATTTTTGATGAAAAACCCCAAATTTCGATCAAAAAAAAATCTCTAAATTTTGCTGTAAAATCCTCAAATTTTGACATAGAATCGCCAAATTTTCACATAAAACCCCTCAAATTTCACCTCAAATTTTCCCTTTTTTCCCCCAAATCCCAAAATTTCCCAAAATTTGTTTTTTTTACCCCAAACAGACCATTTCCTGCGGCTGTTCGAGGTGTCGGGGGCGGGGCTGCGGCTCCTCCGCGCCACCAGGGGGCGCCAGGTCGGGTGGAGCATCCTGGACGTGGCGCTCGGGCCCGACGGCCGCCAGGCGCTCTACTGCTCCTGGGCCAGCCACGGTGACTGGGTTATACTGGTTTATACTGGGAGGGACTGGGAAGGGACGAAATGGGGAAAAAACGGGAAAAAACGGTGAAAAAATGGGAAAAAACGGTGAAAAAATGGGGAAAAAATGGGGAAAAAAGGGTTAAAAATTGGGAAAATTTGGGGGAAGTTGGGGGAAAAGGGGATTTGGGGTTACTGGTTTGTACTGGTTTATACTGGTTTATACTGGGAGGGGGGAAAATGGGGGAAAACGGGGAAAAAACGGTGAAAAAATGGCAAAAAAGGGGTTAAAAATGGTGAAAAAATGGCAAAAAAAGGGTTAAAAATGGGAAAAAATTGGGGGAGAAAGGGTTAAAAATGGGGGAGATGGGGTTTGGAGTTACTGGTTTGTACTGGGAGGGACTGGGAAAGGGGAAAATGGGGAGAAACGGGGAAAAAACGGGAAAAAACGGTGAAAAAATGGGAAAAAATGGGGAAAAATGGCAAAAAAAGGGTTAAAAATGGGGAAAATGGGGGAAATGGGGGAAATGGGGATTTGGGGTTACTGGTTTGTACTGGTTTGTACTGGTTTGTGCTGGGAGTGGAGTGGGGATTACTGGTTTATACTGGGAGGGGGCGAAATGGGGAGAAACGGGGAAAAAACGGGGAAAAACGGGAAAAAATGGGAAAAAATGGCGAAAAAATGGGAAAAAACGGTGAAAAAATGGCGAAAAAAGGGTTAAAATGGCAAACAAGGGGTTAAAAATGGGGGGAGATGGGGTTTGGGGGTTACTGGTTTAGACTGGTTTGTACTGGGAGGGGACTGGGAGGGACTGGGAGGGACTGGGAGGGGGCGAAATGGGGAGAAACGGGGAAAAAATGGGAAAAATGGTGAAAAAATGAGGAAAAAAGGGTTAAAAATGGGGAAAATTTGGGGAAAAGGGGACTTGGGGTTACTGGTTTGGACTGGTTTGTACTGGGAGGGAACTGGGAGGGGAAATGGGGAAAAAATGGGGTAAAAACGGGAAAAAAAGGTTAAAAAAGGGTTAAAAATGGCAAAAAAAGGGTTATAAATGGGGAAAATTGGGGAGAAGGGGTTAAAAATGGGGGGAGATGGGGTTTGGAGTTACTGGTTTATACTGGGAGGGACTGGGAGGGGGGAAATGGGGAGAAATGGGGAAAAAACGGGAAAAAAACAGTGAAAAAATGGTGGAAAAAGGGTTAAAAATGGGGAAAATGGGAGGAAAATGGGGGGAAAAGTGTTAAAGGGGAACTTGGGGTTACTGGTTTGTACTGGTTTGTACTGGGAGGGGACTGGTTTCTACTGGGAGAGGGGAAAATGGGGAGAAATGGGGAAAAAACGGGAAAAAAGGGTGAAAAAATTGCCAAAAAAGGGTTAAAAATGGCAAAAAAGGGGTTAAAAATGGGGAAAATGGGGGAAAATGTGGATTTGGGGTTACTGGTTTGTACTGGTTTGTACTGGGAGTGGAGTGGGGATGACTGGTTTATAATGGGAGGGGAAAATGGGGAGAAACGGGGAAAAAACGGGGGGAAACGGTGAAAAAATGGCAAAAAAAGGGTTAAAAATGCAGAAAATGGGGTAAAAGGGTTAAAAGGCGATTGTGGTTACTGGTTTGTACTGGTTCGTACTGGGAGGGGACTGGGAGGGGACTGGGAGGGACTGGGAGGGACTGGGAGGGAAAATGGGGAAAAAATGGGAAAAAACGGTGAAAAAATGGCCAAAAAATGGCAAAAAAGGGGTTAAAAATGGGGGAAATGGGGGGAAATTGGAGGAGAAAGGGTTAAAAATGAGGGGAGATAAGAATTGGGGTTACTGGTTTGGACTGGTTTGGACTGGTTTGAACTGGGAGGGGATTGGAAGGGGTGAAAATGGGGAGAAAGGGGGAAAATGGGGAGAAACGGGCAAAAAATGGGAAAAAATGGGGAAAAAGGGGTTAAAAATGGGGAAAATTTAGGGGAAATGGGGGAAATGGGGGTTTGGGGTTACTGGTTTATACTGGGAGGGACTGGGAGGGGACTGGGAGGGAAATGGGAGGGGGGAAATGGGGAGAAACGGGGAAAAAATGGGGAAAAAACGGTGAAAAAATGGCAAAAAATGGCAAAAAAATGGGGAAAAAAGGGGTTAAAAATGGGGAAAATTTGGGGAAAATGGGGGTTTGTGGTTACTGGTTTGTACTGGTTTATACTGGGAGGGGACTGGGAGGGGACGAAATGGGGAGAAATGGGGAAAAAACGGGAAAAAAACGGTGAAAAAATGGGGAAAAACGGGAAAAAAAGGCGAAAAAATGACAAAAAAGGGGTTAAAAATGGGGGGAAAATGGAAAAAAAATGGGATTTTTACACTGGTTTTACTGGTTTGTACTGGTTTGTACTGGGTGGGGAGTGGGCGTGGCCTCCTGACCAAGCCCCGCCCCTTTTTTCTCAGTCCACGCCTTTGATTTGCATGGAGAGGGCGACGCCCACACAGCCCTGGACTTCCGGTGGGGGCGTGGCTTCAAATTCTGGGGGCGTGGCTTATCTCTGAGGGGCGTGGCTTGTGTTTTGTCCCATCTCATTTGCATTTGGGGCGTGGCTTTGGGGTTATTTCCATTTTTGGGGGCGTGGCTTTGAGGTTGGTGGGCGTGGCCAGTGTTTACCTGCGGGTAATTTGCATTTGGGGGCGTGGCTTTAGGGATCTGTGGGGCGTGGCTTGTGGGTTATTAGCATTTGTGGGCGTGATTTTGGGGTTTTAGCGGCTCTAATTTGCATTTGGGGCGTGGTTTTCCTTCCAGTGGGCGTGGCTTAAACCCCTAATTAACATAGTGGGCGTGGCTTAAACCCCAATTTAACCCTTTATTTTTAAGTGGGCGTGGCTTAAACCCCTTATTAACATAGTGGGTGTGGCTTAAACATCAATTTAACCCTTTATTATCAAGTGGGTGTGGCTTAAACCCCTAATTAACATAGTGGGTGTGGCTTAACCATCAAGTTAACCCTTTGTTATCAAGTGGGTGTGGTTTAAACACCTAATTAACATAGTGGGTGTGGCTTAACCATCAAGTTAACCCTTTGTTATCAAGTGGGCGTTGCTTAAACACCTAATTAACATAGTGGGTGTGGCTTAACCCCTATTTAACCCTTTATTATGAAGTGGGCGTGGCTTAGACCCCTAATTAACATGGTGGGCGTGGCTTAAATCTCTAATTAGCATAGTGGGCGTGACCTAAACCCCAATTTAACCTCTATAATGAAGTGGGCGTGGTTTAAACCCCTAATTAACATAGTGGGTGTGGCTTAAACCCCATTTTAACCCTTTATTATCAAGTGGGCGTGGCTTAAACCCCTAATTAGCATAGTGGGCGTGGCTTAAACCCCTAATTAACCCAATTTATGGAAGTGGGCGTGGCTTAAACACCTAATTAACATAGCGGGTGTGGCTTAAACATCAATTTAACCCTTTATTATCAAGTGGGCGTGGCTTAAACACCTTATTAGCGTAGTGGGTGTGGCTTAAACCCCTAATTAGCATAGTGGGCGTGGCTTAAACCTCTAATTAACATAGTGGGCGTGGCTTAAACCCCTAATTAACATAGTGGGCGTGACTTAACCCCCAATTTAACCCTTTATTACCCAATGGGCGTGGCTTAAACCCTTAATTAACATTGTGGGCGTGGGTTAAACCCCTAATTAGCATAGAGGGTGTGGCTTAAACCCCAATTTAACCCTTTATTATCAAGTGGGCGTGGCTTAAACACCTAATTAACATAATGGGCGTGGCTTAACCCCCAATTTAACCCCTAATTACCCAGTGGGCGTGGCTTAAACCCCATTTTAACCCCTTGTTACCCAGTGGGCGTGGTTTAATTTGCATAATTAACGAAGTGGGCGTGTCCTTTGTGTCCCCGCCCCCAGGCCCGAGGACCGGCGCTTCGCCGTCTTCTCATTGGCCGTGGGGCCGGACGGGCGGGACGTGATGGGCGGGGCCAACGACGGCTGCGTCTACGTCTACGACCGCCAGGCGCAGCGGCGCGTGGAGAGGGTAAAAAACGGGGTAAAAAACGGCAAAAATGGTCAAAAAGGGTCAAAAAGGGTCAAAACCGGTCAAAACCGGTCAAAAGCGGTAAAAAACGGTAAAAAAACGGGTTAAAGATGCTTAAAACCGGTAAAAAATGGTCAAAAACGGTGAAAAAATGGTTTAAAAAACGTTAAAAATGGTTAAAACCAGTCAAAAACGGTCAAAAACGGTAAAAAAATGGTTTCAAAAAAAACGCTAAAAGTGGTTAAAACCGGTCAAAACCGGTTTAAAAAAAGGCAAACATGGTAAAACCCGGTCAAAACTGGTAAAAACCGGTTTTTCACCATTTTTTCACAATTTGTCCCACTTTTCCCCCATTTTACCCCCTCCCAGTCCAAACCAGTCCAAACCAGTCCAAACCAGTAACCCCCAAATCCCCTTTTAATCCTTTTTACCTTTTTCTTGGCTATTTTTAACCCTTTGTTGGCCATTTTTAACCCTTTCTTTGCCATTTTCCCACCGTTTTTCACCATTTTTTTCCCCATTTTTTCGTTTTTAACCCCTTCTTGACCCCCTCCCAGTCCAAACCAGTCCAGACCAGTAACCCCCAAATCCCCTTTTAATCCTTTTTATCTTCTTTTTTCCCCCGGCCATTTTTAACCCTTTCTCGGCCATTTTAACCCTTTATTTGCCACTTTTAACCGTTTTTCCCATTTTTCCGTCGTTTTTTCCCATTTTTTCACCGTTTCTCCCCATTTTTCCCATCCCAGTATAAACCAGTAACCCCAATTCCCATTTCCCCCATTTTTAACCCTTTCTTGGCCATTTTTAACCCTTTCTTCACCGTTTTTTCACCATTTTTCACCGTTTTTCCCCGTTTTTTCACTTTTAACCCCTTCTCGACCCCCTCCCAGTCCAAACCAGTCCAAACCAGTCCAAACCCCAAACCCCCTTTTAATCTTTCTTTCCTTCTTTTCAGCCATTTTTAACCCTTTCTTGGGCATTTTTAACCCATTCTCGGCCATTTTTAACCCTTTCTTCACCATTTTTTCACCGTTTTTCGCCGTTTCTTCACCATTTTTCGCCCTTTTTTCCCCGTTTTTTCTCTTTTAACCCTCTCCCAGTCCAAACCAGTCCAAACCAGTAACCCCAAACCCCCTTTAATCTTTCTTACCTTTTTTTCGGCCATTTTTAACCCTTTCTTGGCCATCTTTATCCCTTTCTTCGCCATTTTGTCACCGTTTTTCACCGTTTTTTCCCGTTTTTTCCCTTTTAACCCCCTCCCAGTCCAAACCAGTCCAAACCAGTCCAAACCAGTAACCCCCAAATCCCCATTTTAATCCTTCTTATCTTCTTTACTCCCCTGCTATTTTTAACCCTTTCTCGGCCATTTTAACCCTTTATTTGCCACTTTTAACTGTTTTTCCCATTTTTCCGTCGTTTTTTCCCATTTTTTCACCGTTTCTCCCCATTTTTCCCATCCCAGTATAAACCAGTAACCCCAATTCCCATTTCCCCCATTTTTAACCCTTTCTTGGCCATTTTTAACCCTTTCTTTGTCTTTTTTTCACCGTTTTTCACCATTTTTTCCCCGTTTTTTCCCTTTTAACCCCCTCCCAGTCCAAACCAGTCCAAACCAGTCCAAACCCCAAACCCCCTTTTAATCTTTCTTTCCTTCTTTTCAGCCATTTTTAACCCTTTCTTGGCCATTTTTAACCCATTCTCGGCCATCTTTAACCCTTTCTTCACCGTTTTTTCACCGTTTTTCGCCGTTTCTTCACCGTTTTTCACCGTTTTTCCCCCATTTTTTTGCTTTTAACCCCTCTCCCAGTTTAAACCAGTCCAAACCAGTCTCCCCCCTCAGGTCCCCGCCCACGAGGACGACGTCAACGCGGTGGCCTTGGCCGACGCCTCGGGGCAGCTGCTCCTGTCCGGCGGCGACGACGGCGTCGTTCGGGCCTGGGACCGGCGCTGCCTCGCCGAGGGACCCGCGCTCACCCTGGCCGGGCACCGGGACGGGCTGACCTTCCTGCACGCCCGGGTGGGTCACTGGGAGGGACTGGTTTGGACTGGGAGGGGGAAAAAACGGGGAGAAACGGTGAAAAAATGGGGGAAAAAGGTGAAAAAATGGGGAAAAACGGGGAAAAAATGGGGAAATGTGGGCAGGAAAGGGTTAAAAATGGCGGAGAAAGGGTTAAAAATGGCCGAAAAAAGGGAAAAAGGATTAAAAGGGGGTTTGGGGTTTGGACTGGTTTGTACTGGTTTGGACTGGTTTGGACTGGGAGGGGGAAAAATGGGGAGAAACGGCGAAAAAATGGGGAAAAAAGGTGGGAAAATGGGGGAAAACGGTGAAAAAATGGGGGGAATGTGGGCGAGAAAGGGTTAAAATGGCAAATAAAGGGTTAAAAACAGCAAGGAAATGGTTAAAAATGCTGGAAATGGGAATTGGGGTTACTGGTTTGTACTGGTTTATACTGGGAGGGAAAAAACGGGGAGAAATGGTGAAAAAATGGGGGAAAACGGCGAAAAACAGCGAAAAATGGGGAAAATGGGGAAATGTGGGCAAGAAAGGGTTAAAATGGCTGAGAAAGGGTTAAAATCGGCAAAGAAATGGTTAAAATGGGGAAATGGGATTTGGGGTTACTGGTTTATACTGGGAGGGACTGGTTTATACTGGGAGGGGGAAAAAACGGGGAGAAACGGTGAAAAAATGGGGAAAAAAGGTGAAAAAATGGGGGAAAACGGTGAAAAAATGGGGAAAATGCGGGTAGGAAAGGGTTAAAAATGGCAGAGAATGGGTTAAAATGGCAGTGAAGGGTTAAAAATGGGGGAAATGGGATTTGGGGTTACTGGTTTGTACTGGGAGGGGAAAAACGGGGAGAAACGGTGAAAAAACAGCAAAAAACAGCGAAAAACGGCAAAAAAATGGCGAAAAAATGGGGAAAATGGAAAAAATGTGGGCAGGAAAGGGTTAAATATGGCAGTGAAGGGGTTAAAAATGGGGAAATGGGATATGGGGTTACTGGTTTATACTGGGAGGGGAAAAATGGGGAGAAACGGTGAAAAAATGGGGAAAAAAGGTAAAAAATGGGGGAAGTGTGGGCGAGAAAGGGTTAAAAATGGTTTAGAAAGGGTTAAAATCAGCAAGGAAAGGGATAAAACAGGCAAGGAAAGAGTTAAAATTGGGGAAATGGGAATTGGGGTTACTGGTTTGTACTGGGAGGGGGAAAACAGGGAGAAACGGTGAAAAAATGGGAAAAAACGGCAAAAAATGGCAAAAATGGGAAAATGTGGGCAGGAAAGGGTTAAAACAGGCAGAGAAAGGGTTAAAAAGTGTGGAAATGGGTAAAAATGGGGGAAATGGGATTTGGGGTTACTGGTTTATACTGGGAGGGACTGGTTTATACTGGGAGGGGGGAAAATGGGGAGAAATGGCGAAAAAATGGGGAAAAACAGTGAAAAAATGGGGAACTGTGGGCAGGAAAGGGTTAAAATGGCAAAGAAAGGGTTAAAATCGGCAACAAAAGGGTTAAAACCGGCAAGGAAAGGGTTTAAATTGGGGGAAATGGGATTTGGGGTTACTGGTTTATACTGGAAGGGGAAAAACGGGGAGAAACGGTGAAAAAATGGGGAAAAAAGGTGAAAAAATGGCAAAAATGGGGAAAATGTGGGCAGGAAAGGGTTAAAAATGGCAGAGAAAGGGTTAAAATTGGCAAGGAAAGGGTTAAAATTGGCAAGGAAAGGGTTAAAAATGGGGGAAATGGGAATAAGGTTACTGGTTTATACTGGGAGGGGAAAAACGGGGAGAAACGGCGAAAAAATGGGGGAAAAAGGTGAAAAAATGGGGAAGTGTGGGCCAGAAAGGGTTAAAAATGGCAGGGAAAGGGTTAAAATGGCAGTGAAAGGGTTAAAAATGGGGGAAATGGGTATTGGGGTTACTGGTTTGTACTGGGAGGGGGAAAACCGGGGAGAAACGGTGAAAAAACGGCAAAAAACGGTGAAAAAATGGCGAAAATGGGGAAACTGTGGGCAGGAAAGGGTTAAAAATGGCAGAGAAAGGGTTAAAATGGCAGAGAAAGGGTTAAAATCGGCAACAAAATTGTTAAAATCGGCAAAGAAATGGTTAAAAATGGGGAAATGGGATTTGGGGTTACTGGTTTGTACTGGGAGGGACTGGGAGGGAGAAATGGGGGAAAATGCTGAAAAATTGCAAAAAAAGGGACAAAAATGGCAAATAAAGGGTTAAAAATGGCAGCAAAAGGGTTAAAATCAGCAAGGAAAGGGTTAAAATGGGGAATAGGGATTGGGGTTACTGGTTTGAACTGGGAGGGACTGGGAGGGGGAAAAACAAAAAAAATGGTGAAAAAACGAGGAAAAATGGTGAAAAACGGGAAAAAGGGTTAAAAGTGGCAAATAAAGGGTTAAAATGGCAAAGAAAGGGTTAAAAATGGCAAGGAAATGGTTAAAAATGGGGGAAATGGGATTTGGGGGTTACTGGTTTGTACTGGGAGGGGGAAAAACGGGGAGAAACGGTGAAAAAATGGGGAAAAACGGTGAAAAAATGGGGAAAATGGGGAAATGTGGGCCAGAAAGGGTTAAAAACGGCAGAAAAGGGGTTAAAACGCAAAGGAAATGGTTAAAAATGGGGGAAATGGGAATTGGGGTTACTGGTTTGAACTGGGAGGGACTGGTTTGGACTGGGAGGGGGAAAAAACGGGGAGAAACGGTGAAAAAATGGGGAAAAACGGTGAAAAAATGGGGAAGTGTGGGCGAGAAACGGTTAAAAATGGCAGAAAAGGGGTTAAAATCGGCAGGGAAAGGGTTAAAAATGATGGAAATGGAATTTGGGGTTACTGGTTTGTACTGGTTTGTACTGGGAGGGACTGGGAGGGGGGAATGGGGAAAAATGGTGAAAAATTGGGGAAAAAACGGTGAAAAAATTGGGAAAAATACGGGGGGAAAAAATTGTTTAAAATGGTGAAAAAATGGGAAAAATAGGATTTTTGGACTGGTTTGAACTGGTCCAAACTGGTTTATACTGGTTTGAACTGGGATTTTGTGGTTGCGAGAGCAACTGGGACAAGAAAAATGGGTCAAAAAAGGCGAAAAATGGGCAAAAATGGCTCAAAAATGGCCAAAAATGGCTCAAATCGAATGGAATTTTTTTCCTACTGGTTTATACTGGTTTGTACTGGTTTGTACTGGTTTTTACTGGTTTAAACTGGGATTTTGTGGTTGCGAGAGCAACTGGGAGCACAAAAAATGGGTCAAAAATGGCCAAAAATGGGCAAAAATAGGCCAAAAATAGCTCAAATCAAATGGAATTTTTTCCCTACTGGTTTGTACTGGTTTGTACTGGTTTGTACTGGTTTATACTGGTTTGAACTGGTTTAAACTGGTTTAAACTGGGATTTTGAGGTTGGCAGAGGAAATGGGAGCACAAAAACTGGGTCAAAAATGGCAAAAAATGGGCAAAAATGGCTCAAAAATGGCTCAAAAATGGCCAAAAATGGCTCAAATAAAATGGAATTTTTTTGTACTGGTTTATACTGGTTTTTACTGGTTTGAACTGGTTTGTACTGGTTTGAACTGGGATTTTGTGGTTGGGAGATCAACTGGGAGCACAAAAAATTGGTCAAAAATGGGCAAAAAATGGGCAAAAATGGCTGAAAAATGGCCAAAAATGTCTCAAATCGAATGGAATTTTTTGTACTGGTTTATACTGGTCTGTACTGGTTTGTACTGGTTTGTACTGGTTTCAACTGGTTTATACTGGTTTAAACTGGGATTTTGTGGTTGGGAGACCAACTGGGAGCACAAAAAATGGGTCAAAAATGGCGAAAAATAGGGAAAAAAGGCTCAAAAATGGGCAAAAATGGGTCAAATAGAATGGAATTTTTTTCCTACTGGTTTATACTGGTTTATACTGGTCTGTACTGGTTTTTACTGGTTTTTACTGGTTTTCCCACAGGGGGACGGGCGCTACGTGGTGTCCAACTCCAAGGACCAGTCGGCCAAGCTCTGGGACCTGCGGCGGCCCTCGGGGGCGGCGGCGCTGGCGGCGACACGTCGGGCGGTGGCGCGGCAGAGTTGGGACTACCGGTGGCAGCGAGCGCCCCGGAACGGTACTGGGATGTACTGGTTTATACTGGTTTATACTGGGAGAGACTGGTTTATACTGGGAGGGGAAAATGGGGCAAAAACGGGGAAAATCGGGCAAAAAATGGCCAAAAAATGGGGAAAAAATTGGATTTTAAAGGGTTAAAAATGGTTGAAATTGGGATTGGGGTTACTGGTGTGTACTGGTTTATACTGGTTTGTACTGGTTTGTACTGGGTTATACTGGTTTATACTGGTTTATACTGGGTTATACTGGGTTGTACTGGTTTATACTGGTTTTACTGGTTTATACTGGGTTATACTGGGTTATACTGGTTTATACTGGGAGGGGGTTTGGGGGGGACTGGGAGGGGGGAAACGGCGAAAAAACGGGGGAAAATGGTGAAAAAATGGGGGAAAACAGTGAAAAAACGGCGAAAAACAGGGAAAAAACGGGGAAAAAACGGCGAAAAAACAGGGAAAAAATGGGGAAAAACGGGGAAAAAATGGGGTAAAATGGTGAAAAAACGGGAAAAAAACGGGGAAAAAATGTGGAAAAACGGGGAAAAAAATTTTTTCCCAATTTTTCCCCAATTTTCCCCCAATTTTCGTTTAATTTTCCCCTAATTTTCGTCCAATTTTCCCCCAATTTTTCTTCAATTTTTCCCCAATTTTCCCCCTATTTTTTTCCAATTTTTGGCTGAATTTTGCTCATCTTTTTCCGAATTTTTTCCCCATTTTCATCCAATCTTCCCCCAGTTTCTCCCCAATTTTAATCCAATTTTCCCCCAATTTTTTCCGAATTTTTGATGGAATTTCCCCAATTTTTCCCAATTTTCCCCCAATTCTCCCCCAATTTTCCCCCAATTTTCGTTCAATTTTCCCCCACTTTTTCCCCCAATTTTTCCCCAATTTCCCCCCCAATTTTCCCCAATTTCCCCCCCATTTTTACCCCAATTTTTGACTGAATTTCGCTCTTTTTTTTCCGATTTCTGTCTAATTTTCATCCAATTTTTCCCAAATTTTTCCCAATTTTCTCCCAATTTTCTCCCAATTTTTCCCCAATTTCCCCCCAATTTCCCCCCAATTTCCCCCCAATTTTCGTTTAATTTTTCCTCAATTTTCATCCAATTTTCCCCCAATTTTTGGATGAATCTTGCTCTTTTTTTCCCCAATTTTCCCGCATTTCCCCCCCAATTTTTCCCCAATTTCCTCCCAATTTTTGGCTTAATTTCCCCAATTTTTTCCCAATTTTCCCCAATTTCTCCTAAATTTTCCCAATTTCCCCCCAAATTTCATCCAATTTTTCCCCAAAATTTTCCCCAATTTTTCTCCATTTTTTCCCCAATTTTCCCCCAATTTTCTCCCAATTTTTCCCCCAATTTTTCCCCCAATTTTCCCCCAATTTTTCCCTGAATTTCGCTCATTTTTTCCCCATTTTTCCCCTAATTTTTCCCCAAATTTTCCCAATTTTGCCCCATTTTTCCCATAATTTCCCCCCAATTTTTCCCCAATTTTCCCTCACTTTCTCCCCCACTTTTCCCCCAATTTCCCCCAAATTTTCCCCCAATTTTTCCTCAATTTTTCCACAATTTTCCCCCAATTTTTCCCCGATTTTCCCCCAATTTTTGGCTTAATATCCCAATTTTCCCCCAATTTCCCCCCAATTTTCCCCCATTTTTTCCCCAATTTCCCCCCAATTTTTACCCAAATTTCCCCAATTTCCCCCCATTTCTCCCCCAATTTCCCCCCAAATTTTCCCCCAATTTTTCCTCATTTTTTCCCCAATTTTCATCCAATTTTCCTCAATTTCCCCCCAATTTTCATTTAATTTTTCCCCCAATTTTCATCCAATTTCCCCCTTTTTTTTTCCATCATTTTTCCCCATTTTTTCCCCAATTTTCCCCCATTTTTCCCCAATTTCCCCCTAAATTTCCCCCAAATTTCCCCCCAATTTTGGTTTAAAGTTTCCCCAATTTTCCCCGCACTTTTTCCCCAATTTTTCCCATTTTTTCCTCAAATTTTACCTGAATTTTTTCCATTTTTCCCCATTTCCCCCCCGGTGGGCGTGTCCTGTGTTGGCCCCGCCCCCAGCGCGGCGGGCCCCGCCCCTTCCGGGTGACGCGTCGCTGCTGACGTTCCGCGGTCACGTGGTGCTGCACACGCTGCTGCGCTGCCGATTGGCCCCGGCGGGGGCGGCCCCGGCCATGGCGGCCGGAAGTGCCGACGGCGCCATCTTGGGTAAACTGGGACAAACTGGGAGCACTGGTTTATACTGGGAGGGACTGGGAGGGGTTTGGGGGGCACTGGGAGGGGATTTGGGGTTACTGGTTTATACTGGTTTATACTGGGAATGGGTTTGGGGGTTACTGGTTTATACTGGGGGGCACTGGGAGCCCCGGCCCTGGCGGCCGGAAGTGCCGACGGCGCCATCTTGGGTAAACTGGGTTATACTGGGAGCACTGGTTTATACTGGGAGGGGTTTGGGGGGGTCTGGGTTATACTGGGAGGGACTGGGAGGGGTTTGGGAGGGGTTTGGGGGGGACTGGGATGAACTGGGAGGGACTGGGAGGAGATTTGGGGTTACTGGTTTATACTGGGAGGGACTGGGAGGCACTGGGAGCCCCGGCCATGGCGGCCGGAAGTGCCGACGGCGCCATCTTGGGTAAATGGTTCATACTGGTTTGTACTGGTTTATACTGGGAGGGGTTTGGGGGGCACTGGGATGGGATTTGGGGTTACTGGTTTATACTGGGGGGCACTGGGAGGTGATTTGGGGTTACTGGTTTATACTGGGAGGCACTGGGAGCCCCGGCCATGGCGGCCGGAAGTGCCGACGGCGCCATCTTGGGTAAACTGGGTTATACTGGGTTATACTGGGAGGCACTGGGAGGGACTGGGAGGGGTTTGGGAGAGGTTTGGGGGGCACTGGGATGAACTGGGAGGGACTGGGATGGGATTTGGGGTTACTGGTTTATACTGGGAGGGACTGGGAGGGAACTGGGATGGGATTTGGGGGTTACTGGTTTGTACTGGTTTATACTGGGAGGGGTTTGGGGGGCACTGGGAGGGAACTGGGATGGGATTTGGGGTTACTGGTTTATACTGGTTTATACTGGGAGGGGTTTGGGAGGAGTTTGGGGGGGACTGGGAAGGAACTGGGAGGGGATTTGGGGTCACTGGTTCATACTGGTTTATACTGGTTTAAACTGGTTTATACTGTTTTTTTACCATTTTTACTGGTTTTTAACTGGTTTATACTGGTTTAAACTGGGTTTTACCATTTTTTACTGGTTTAAACTGGTTTAAACTGGTTTCTAACTGGTTCATACTGGTCTATACTGGTCTATACTGGTTTACACTGTTTTCCAGTCTATGACGTCACCACGGGGCGGGCCCTGCGCCGTCTGACCAATCACGGCGCGTGCGTGCGTGACGTCAGCTGGAGCCCCGAGGGGGCGTGGCTCGCCAGCGCCTCGGTGGGCGGGGCCTCATTTGCATAACGGGCGGGGCTTAAACGGGGAGTGGGCGGGGTTTGAATGGGGCCTCATTTGCATAATGGGCGGGGCTTAAATTCGCAGTGGGAGGGGTTTGAATGGGGCCTCATTTGCATAACGGGCGGGGTTTAAATGGGGAGTGGGAGGGGTTTAAATGGGGCCTCATTTGCATAAGGGGCGGGGTTTAAATGGGGAGTGGGAGGGGTTTAAATGGGGCCTCATTTGCATAACGGGCGGGGCTTAAATGGGGAGTGGGAGGGGTTTAAATGGGGCCTAATTTGCATAACGGGCGGGGCTTAAATTCGGATTGGGAGGGGTTTAAATGGGGCCTAATTTGCATAACGGGCGGGGCTTAAATGGGAGTGGGAGGGGTTTAATTAAAGAAATTAGCGGGGTTTAATTAAAGAAAGGGGCGGGGTTTAATTAATTTAATAGGTGGGGTTTAATTAAAGAAAGGGGCGGGGTTTAATTAATTAAATAGGTGGGGTTTAATTAAAGAAAGGGGCGGGGTTTAATTAATTAAATATGCGGGGTTTAATTAAAGAAAGGGGCGGGGTTTAATTAATGAAATGGGCGGGGTTTAATTAATGAAATGGGCGGGGTTTAATTAAAGAAAGGGGCAGGGTTTAAGTAATTAAAAGGGCAGGGTTTAATTAATTAAATAGGCGGGGTTTAATTAATTAAATAAAGGGGCGGGGTTTAATTAAATAAATAGGCATGGTTTAATTAATTAAATAGGCGGGGTTTAATTAATTAAAGGGGCTAGATTTAATAAAGAAAGGGGCGGAGTTTAATTAAAGAAAGGGGCGGGGTTTAATTAATTAAATAGGCGGGGTTTAATTAATTAAATAGGCAGGGTTTAATTAAAGAAGGGGCGGGTTTAATGAATTATTTATTAATTATTATTTAAATAATTATTATATAATTAAATTTTCTTTTAAATTTAATATTAAATATATTAATTAATTTTAATTTATTATAATTAGTTTTTCTTTTAAATTTAATATTAATTATATTAATTAATTTATTTTAATTAATTTTAATTATATATATATATAATAAAAAACTAAATTAAATATTAAATATTATTTAATTAAATAGGCGGGGTTTAATTAAAAAGGGGCATAATTTAAAATACAAAAATACCGAATTTTAATTAGGAAAAGGGGCGTGGCTAAACCAAAGGGGGCGGGGTTTACAATGGAATGGGCGTGGCTAAACAAAAGGGGCGTGGTCTGACTAAGCCCCGCCCCCAGTGGGACGGCACCGTCCGGCTCTGGACCTATCGCGACGCAGAGGACGCGGAGGGGGCGGAGCTTCGCTTGGAGGGGGCGTGGCCTCCCCAGGGACGGGGGCGTGGCCCGGAATAAACAGCGATCTGTGGCCCCGCCCACTTCTGTCGTTTTTGGGGGGAAATTTGGGGGTTTTGGGGGGGAAATTTTGGGGTTTTGGGGGTGAAATTTTTGGGGTTTGGGGGTTGAATTTTGGGGTTAAAATTTGGGGATTTTGAGGTTAAAATTTGGCGGTTTTGGGGCTGAAATTTGGGGTTAAAATTTGGGGGATTTGGGGTTTAAATTTGGGGATATTTGGGGATTTCGGGGGTTAAAATTTGAGGGGATTTGGGTTAAAATTTGGGGGTTTTGGGGTTAAAATTTTTGGGGTTTTGGGGTTGAATTTTGGACTTTTTGGGGGTTAAAAATTTTAGACTTTGGGGTCAAAATTTGGGGGTTTTGGGGTTAAAAATTGGGGGTTTGGGGTTAAAATTTGGGGGTTTTGGGGTTGAATTTTGGGGTTAATTTTTGGGGAATTTGGGGGTTAAAATTTGAGGGGTTTTTTATTAAAATTTGGGGGGTTTGGGGTTAAAAATTGGGGGTTTTGGGGGTTTTGGGGTTAAAATTTGGGGGATTTGGGGTTAAAATTTGGCGTTAAAATTTTGGTATTTTGGGGGTTAAAATTTGATGGGATTTGGGTTAAAATTTGGGGGGTTTGGGGTTAAAATTTTTGGGGTTTTGGGGTTAAAATTTGGGGGGATTTGGGGGTTAAAATTTGAGGGGATTTGGGTTAAAATTTGGGGATTTTGACGTTAAAATTTTTGGGGTTTTGGGGTTGAATTTTGGGGTTAAAATTTGGGTATTTGGGGTTTAAAATTTGAGGGGATTTGGGTTAATATTTGGCGGTTTTGGGGTTAAAATTTGGGGGTTTTTGGTTAAAATTTGGGGGTTAAAATTTGGGGGTTTTGGGGGTGAAATTTTTGGGGGTTTTGGGGTTGAAATTTGGGGGGATTTGGGTTAAAATTTGTGGGGTTTTGGGTTTGAATTTTGGGGTTAAAATTTGGGGTTTTTGGGGTTAAAATTTTGGGGGTTTTGGGGTTAAATTTGGGGCTTATGGGGTTAAAATTTGGGGTTAAAATTTGGTGGGTTTGGGTTAAAATGTGGCAGTTTTGGGGTTAAAATTTAGCGTTAAAATTTGGGGGATTTGGGGTTAAAATTTGGGGGATTTGAGGTGAGAATTTGGGGGGATTTGGGTTAAAATTTGGCGGTTTTAGGGTTAAACTTTGTGGGGTTTTGGGATTGTATTTTGGGGTTAAAATTTGGGGTTTTTGGGGGTTTAAAGTTTTGGGGTTTGGGGATAAAATTTGGGGTTTTGGGGTTGAAATTTGGGGGGATTTGGATTAAAATTTGTGGGGTTTTGGGGTTGAAATTTGGGGTTAAAATTTGGGGAGTTTGGGGGTTAAAATTTGGGGGTTTTGGGTTAAAATTTGGGGGTTTTGGGGTTAAAGTTTTAGGGGATTTGGGGGTTAAAATTTGGAGGGTTTGGGGTTGAATTTTGGCGGTTTGGGGGTTAAAATTTGGTGATAAAATTTGGGGTTTTTGGGGGTTAAAAGTTTTGGATTTTGGGGTTAAAATTTGGGGATTTTGGGGTTAAAATTTGGGCGGTTTGGGGTTGAAATTTGGGGATAAAATTTGGGGTTTTGGGGGGTTAAAAGTTTTGGGGTTTGGGTTAAAATTTGGCAGTTTTGGGGCTGAAATTTGGGGGTAAAATTTGGGGGGGGTTGGGTAAAAATTTGGGGGTTTTGGGGCTGAAATTTGGGGGTAAAAATTTGGGGGTTTTGGGGGTTAAAATTTGGGGGTTTTGGGTTAAAATTTGGCGGTTTTAGGGTTAAAATTTGTGGGGTTTTTGGGTTGAATTTTGGGGTTAAAATTAGGGGGTTTTGGGGGTTAAAAAGTTTTGGGGGTTTTGGGGTTAAAATTTGGGGATTTTGGGGCTGAAATTCGGGGTTAAAATTTGGGGGTTTTTGGGTAAAAATTTGGGGGTTTTGGGGTTGAAATTTGGGGTTAAAATTTGGGGGGTTTTGGGTTAAAATGTGGCAGTTTTGGGGTTGAAATTTGGGGATAAAATTTTGGGGTTTTTGGGGGTTCAAAGTTTTGGATTTTGTGGTTAAAATTTGGGGTTTTTGAGGGTTAAAAGTTTTGGGGTTTGGGGTTAAAATTTTTAATTTTTGGGGGTTAAAATTTGGGGGTTTTGGGGTTAAAATTTGGCGGTTTTGGGGTTGAAATTTGGGGTTAAAATTTGGGGGTTTTGGGGTTAAAATTTGGGGTTAAAATTTGGGAGATTTGGGTTAAAATTTGTGGGGTTCTGGGGTTGAATTTTGGACTTTTGGGGGTTAAAAATTTTGAACTTTGGGGTTAAAATTTGGGCGTTTTGGGGTTAAAATTTGGGGTTTTTGGGGTTGAAATTTGGGGGATTTGGGGTTGAAATTTGGGGGTAAAATTTGGGGGTTTTGGGTTAAAATTTGGGGAATTTGGGGTTGAATTTGGGGCTTAAAATTTGGGGTTTTGGGGTTAAAATTTTGGGGTGTCGGAGTTAAAATTTGGGGGGATTTGGCTTTAAATTTGGGGCTTTTGGGGTTACAATTTTTGGGTTTTTGGGTTTGAAATTTGGGGGTTTTGGGGTTAAAATTTTTGGGGTTTGGGGCTGAAATTTGGGGGTTTTGGGGTTAAAATTTAGGATTAAAATTTGGGTTTTTTTGGGGGGTAAAAGGATGTGGGTCTGCCCCACAGATCCCAAATCTGCTCCACAGATCCCAAAAAAAGCCCAAACCCCGCCCCCAAATCCCAAAATACCCCAAACCCCTCCCCCACATTCCCGCCCCTCCCCCCCTTTGCCCTTGGCCGCGACCGCTCCGGGTGGGGGGAGGGGAAGGCGCCCCTTAAAAAAAACCCAAAAAGCGCCCCAAAAAACCCCAAAAACACCCCAAAAAACCCCACAAAGAAACCCACAAAAAAGACCCCAAAACCCTCCAAAAAAAAAACCCCAAAACTCTCCAAAAAAACCCCCCAAAACCCCCAAAAAACTCCAAAGGAAAACCCAAAAAACCCCCAAAAAAACCCACAAAAAACTTCCCAAAGAACCACAAAAAAGCCCCAAAAATCCCCCAAACCCCCCCCAAAAAAAACCTTAAAAAAAACCCCAAAAAACCCCAATGATACCTCAAAAAAATCTCCAAAAAAAACCCAAAAAAAACCAAAAAAACCCCAAAAAAACCTCCGAACAACCTCAAAAAAACCCCTCAAAAACTCCAAAAAAAACCCCAACCCCCCCCCAAAAAACCTCAAAAAAACTCTCTAAAAACCCCAACCAAACCCCAAAAAAACCCCACAAAAAAACCCAAAAAAAGTCTCAAAAAAAGCCCAAGAAAACCCCAAAGAAAAACCCAAAGAAAAACCCAAAATGCCCCCCAAAAAACCCAAAAAAAAACCCAAAAAACCAAACCCCCCCCGCAAAAAAACCCTTAAAAAAACCCCAAAAAACTGCCTAAAAAACCCAAAAAGCCTCAAGAAAACCCCCAAAAAAACCCGAAAAAAATCCCAAAAAAACCCCTAAAAAACCCCAAAGAAAAACCCAAAAAAACCCTTTAAAAATACCTAAAAAAACGCCAAAAAACCCAAAAAATCCCCCAAAACCCAAAAAAACCCCAAGAAAATCCCAAAAAATCCCAAAAAATGCCTTTAAAAAAAAACAACACCAAAAACCCCAAAAAACACCAAAAAAAAAACCCCAAAAAACCCCAAAATCCCCCCAAGCCCCTCCCCCACATCCCAAAAAAACCCAAACCCCGCCCCCAAATCCCAAAATAATCCCAAAAAATTCCCGCCCCTCCCCCACATTCCCGCCCCTCCCCCCCTCTGCCCTTGGCCGCGACCGCTCCGGGCGGGGGGAGGGGAAGACGCCCCAAAACCCCCCAAAAAAACCCAAAAAAACCCCAAAAAACCCCCAAAAAACCCCCAAAAATCCGCCATGGGGCGGGGCCTCGCTATGGGGCAGCGCCTCTGTGGGGCCGCCCTATATCGGATCTGCTGTGGGGCCGCGGCCGTTTTGGGGTGGTCGGGGTTCCCCAGGGCCCATTCGCTGCTGCTGGCGGCACTTGTGGGGCTGGGGCCGCTGCTGTGGGGCAGAGGGGATCCCCACAGCGTGCTGGCCTCGCCCCATAACCGGCTGGAGGCGTGAGTGGGGCTGGGGGGATCTGTGGGGCGGGATTTGGGGTGGGATTTGGGGTTTGGGGTCGATCTATGGGGTGGGATTTGGGGTTTGGGGGGGATCTGTAGGGCGGGATTTGGGGTTTGGGGGGTCGGATTTGGGGTCTGTGGGTGAATCTATGGGGCGGGATTTGGGGTCTATGGGGTGGAATTTGGGGTTTGGAGTGGATCTATGGGGCAGAATTTGGGTCTGTGGGTCGATCTATGGGGCAGGATTTGGGGTGGGATTTGGGGTTTGGGGTCGATCTATGGGGCGGGATTTGGGGTCTATGGGGTGGGATTTGGGGTTTTGGGGGGGATCTATGGGGCGCGATTTGGGGTTTGGGGTCAATCTGTGGGGCGGGATTTGGGGTTTGGGGGACAGGAATTTGGGGTCTATGGGGCAGATTTGGGATCTATGGGGCAGAAATTTGGGATCTGTGGGGTGGGATTTGGGGTTTGGGGTGGATCTATGGGGCAGATTTGGGGTCTGTGGGTCAATCTATGGGGTGGATTTGGGATCTATGGGGCGGGATTTGGGGTTTGGCGGGTGGGATTTGGGCTCTATGGGGCGGGATTTAGGATCTATGGGGCAGAAATTTGGGGTCTGTGGGTCGATCTATGGGGCGGGATTCGGGGTTTGGGGGCTGGGATTTGGGGTCTATGGGGTGGGATTTGGGGTTTGGGGTCAATCTGTGGGGCGGGATTTGGGATCTATGGGGAAGGATTTGGGATCTGTGGGGCGGATTTGGGATCTATGGGTCGATCTATGGGGCTGGGAATGGGGTTTGGGGTCGGTTATGGGGCAGATTTGGGATCTCTGGGGCCCATTCGCTGCTGCTGGCGGCACTTGTGGGGCTGGGGCCGCTGCTGTGGGGCAGAGGGGATCCCCACAGCGTGCTGGCCTCGCCCCATAACCGGCTGGAGGCGTGAGTGGGGCTGGGGGGCGGCTATGGGGCGGGGTTTGGGGTCTATGGGTCAATCTATGGGGTGGGATTTGGGGTTTGGGGGGTAGAAATTTGGGATCTATGGGGCGGATTTGGGGTCTATGGGGCGGAATTTGGGGTTTGGGGTCAAGCTGTGGGGCGGGATTTGGGGTTTTGGGGGGATCTGTGGGGCTGGAAATGGGATCTGTGGGGCCGGATTTGGGGTTTGGGGGTGGGATTTGGGGTCTATGGGGTGGGATTTGGGGTCTATGGGTCAATCTATGGGGCGGAATTTGGGGTCTATGGGGCGGATTTGGGGTCTATGGGTCGATCTATGGGGCAGATTTGGGATCTATGGGGCAGAAATTTGGGGTTTGGGGGGTGAGATTTGGGATCTGTGGGGCAGATTTGGGGTCTGTGGGTCAATCTATGGGGCTGGGAATGGGGTTTGGGGTGGGTTATGGGGCAGGATTTGGAATGTATGGGGCAGAAATTTTGGGTCTGTGGGGTGGGATTTGGGGTCTATGGGGCAGAATTTGGGGTTTGGGGGGTGGGATTTGGGATCTATGGGGTGGGATTTGGGGTCTGTGGGTCGATCTATGGGGCGGATTTGGGGTTTGGGGGGCAGAAATTTGGGATCTATGGGGCGGGATTTGGGGATCTATGGGGCAGGATTTGGGGTCTATGGGTTGATCTATGGGGTGGGATTTGGGGTTTGGGGGGTGGGATTTGGGGTTTGGGGCAGATCTATGGGGCAGAATTTGGGATCTGTGGGGTGGGATTTGGGGTTTGGGGTGGATCTATGGGGCAGATTTGGGGTCTGTGGGTCAATCTATGGGGTGGGATTTGGGATCTGTGGGTCGATCTATGGGGCGGGATTTGGGGTTTGGGGGGCAGAAATTTGGGGTCTATGGGGTGGGATTTGGGGTCTGTGGGTCGATCTATGGGGCAGGAATGGGGTTTGGGGGTCAGGATGTGGGTTTGGGGGGGAATCTATGGGGCAGGATTTGGGGTCTATGGGTCAATCTATGGGGCGGAATTTGGGGTCTATGGGGCGGATTTGGGGTTTGGGGGGCAGAAATTTGGGATCTATGGGTCGATCTATGGGGCTGGGAATGGGGTTTGGGGGGTGGGATTTGGGATCTATGGGTCAATCTATGGGGCAGGATTTGGGGTTTGGGGATCAGAAATTTGGGGTCTATGGGGCTGATTTGGGGTTTGGGGGCAGAAATTTGGGATCTGTGGGGCGGATTTGGGGTCTATGGGGCGGGATTTGGGGTTTGGGGTCAAGCTGTGGGGCGGGATTTGGGGTTTTGGGGGGATCTGTGGGGCTGGAAATGCGATCTGTGGGGCCGGATTTGGGGTTTGGGGGGTGGGATTTGGGCTCTATGGGGCGGGATTTGGGATCTATGGGGCAGAAATTTGGGGTCTGTGGGTCAATCTATGGGGCAGGATTTGGGGATCTATGGGGCAGGACGTGGAGTTTGGGGGGGTCTATGGGGCAGATTTGGGGTCTATGGGGTGAGATTTGGGGGTTGGGGGGCAGAAATTTGGGATCTATGGGGTGGGATTTGGGATCTATGGGGCAGATTTGGGGTCTATGGGTCGATCTATGGGGCGGGATTTGGGGTTTGGGGGGTCAGATTTCGGGTCTGTGGGTCGATCTATGGGGTGGGATTTGGGATCTATGGGGCAGAAATTTGGGGTCTATGGGTCGATCTATGGGACTGGGAATGGGGTTTGGAGTGGGTTATGGGGCAGGATTTGGGGTCTATGGGTCGATCTATGGGGCAGGATTTGGGATCTATGGGGCGCGATTTGCGGTTTGGGGGGATCTATGGGGCAGGACGTGGAGTTTGGGGGGATCTATGGGGCAGATTTGGGGTCTATGGGTCAACCTGTGGGGTGGGATTTGGGGTTTGGGGTGTCAGATTTGGGATCTGTGGGTCAATCTATGGGGCTGGGAATGAGGTTTGGAATGGGTTATGGGGCAGGATTTGGGATGTATGGGGCGGGATTTGGGGTTTGGGGGGGATCTATGGGTCGATCTATGGGGCTGGGAATGGGGTCTGGGGGGATCTGTGGGGCGGGATTTGGGGGTTGGGAGGGAGAAATTTGGGATCTATGGGGCAGAAATTTGGGATCTATGGGGCGGAATTTGGGGTTTGGGGGGCAGAAATTTGGGATCTATGGGGTGGGATTTGGGATCTATGGGGCAGGATTTGGGGTCTATGGGTCGATCTATGGGGCGGATCTGGGTTCTATGGGGCAGATTTGGGATCTATGGGGCGGATTTGGGATCTGTGGGGCAGATTTGGGATCTATGGGGCAGATTTGGGATCTATGGGGCAGAATTTGGGATCTATGGGGCAGATTTGGGATCTGTGGGGCAGATTTTGGATCTATGGGGCAGATTTTGGATCTATGGGGCAGATTTGGGATCTATGGGGCGGATTTGGGATCTGTGGGGCAGAAATTTGGGGTCTATGGGTCAATCTATGGGGCAGATTTGGGATCTATGGGGCGGATTTGGGGTCTATGGGTCGATCTATGGGGCTGGGAATGGGGTTTGGGGTCGGTTATGGGGCAGGATTTGGGATCTATGGGGCGGATTTGGCAATTGATAATCAGTATTTTATAATCGATGCTCTGCAATTGATAATTGATAAATGATAATTGATAATAAGTAATTGATACCCGATAACTGATAATCAATTATCAATAGCATGTATTAGATAATTGATAGTTGAAAATCAATAATCGATAACTGATAACCGATAATCAATAATAGATATTTGATAGTTGATAATCATGAATCGATAATCAACAATTGATAGCTGAGACTTGATTATTGATTATTGATAATGATAATTGACGATTAATAACTGATAGTTGATAATTGACGGTGATAATAATCGATAATCGATAATCAAGAATCAGTAATTTATAATACACAGTTGATAGTTAATAATCATTAATGGATAATCAACAATCAATAGCTGAGAACTGATTATTGATTATTGATAATGATAACTGACGATTAATAACTGATAGTTGATAATTGAGAGTGACAATAATAGATAATCTATAATTGATAATCAATAATCAATAATCAACAATCGGTTGTTGAGACTTGGTTATTGATTATTGATAATGATAATCGACAATTAATAACTGATCGCTGATAATTGACAGCGATAATAACCGATAACCGATAATCAATAATCAATACTTGATAATCAATAATCGATAATCAACAGGCGATAGCTGAGACTTGGCTATTGATTATTGATAATTGATAATTGACAATTGATAACTGATAATTGATAATTCACAGTGATAATATTGATAATCGATAACCGATAATCAATAATTGATAATCAGTAACCAACAATCAATAATCAATAACCAATAATCAATAACCGATAGCTGAGACTTGATTATTGATTATTGATAATGATAATTGACGATTAGTAACTGATAGATGATAATTGAGACTGATAATAATCAATAATTGCTAATCAATAATCCATAATCAATAATCAATAACCAATAATCATCAATATCCCGCAGCCGCCTGACCGCCAGCGCCCCCGCCTGGACCTGGCTGCTGATTGGCTCCCTGCTGGTGGCCTCCTACCCGTGGCTCCGCCCCCCCTGGCGCTCCGCCCTGCGCGCCCTCGCCCGATTGGCCGTCGCCGTGGCGCTGTCCCGCGCCGGCCACGCCCTCGGCCACGCCCTGGAGGCCGCCACCGGAAGCTGCACAAGCCCCGCCCCCGGCGGGACGCTGCTGCTGCCAATCAGAGAGCCGGAAACCTGCCGGGGGGCGGGGCATCGCTGGGAGGGGTTTGGCCCCGCCCCCCAGGCCTTTGACCTGGTGCATTGTGGGTTGGGGCTCGCCGAGGAGGCGGCGGCGCTGGGGAGGAGGATCTACGGGCTGGGCAAGATGGCCGCCGCCAGCAAGATGGCCGCCGGGCACAAGATGGCTGCCATGCGCAAGATGGATGACCCATACAAGATGGCTGACCCATACAAAATGGCCACCACGCACAAAATGGCCGACCCATACAAAATGGCCGCCGGTAGTGAGATGGTTGAAAGATCCAAGATGGCCGACGCACCCAAGATGGCTGACCCATACAAAATGGCCGACCCATACAAAATGGCTGCCGGGTATGAGATGGGTGAGAGATCCAAGATGGCCGCCGGATATGAGTCGGGTGAGAGATCCAAGATGGCCGACCCATACAAGATGGCTGCCGTGCACAAAATGGCCGACCCATACAAGATGGCTGCCAGTAGTGATACGATTGAGCAATCCAAGATGGCCGCCGGATATGAGACAAGTGAGCGATCCAAGATGGCCGACCCATACAAGATGGCCGCCGGGTCTGAGATGGTTGAGCGATCCAAGATGGCCGCCCCATACAAAATGGCCGCCGGTACTGAGACTATTGAGAGATCCAAGATGGCCGCCAGGTATGAGACAAGTGAGCGATCCAAGATGGCCGACGCACCCAAGATGGCCGCCTGGTCCAAGATGGCCGCCTGGTTTAAGATGCTGCCTTGGTTCAAGATGGCCGCCGGGCCCAAGATGGCCGCCGGATATAAAACAGGGGATGAATCCAAGATGGCCGCCGGATCCAAGATGGCGGCCGGATCCAAGATGGCCGCCGAACACGACACAGAAGAAGAATCCAAGATGGCGCCGTGGGCGTGGCCGCGCCCAACATGGCGACCAATCGGCTTCGAGTGGGCGGAGCCCTCTCATGCAAATGAGGGGTGGGCGGGGCCATTTTGGGGCGGCCATTTTGAAGGGCGACACGGCGGCGGCCATTTTGAAGTGGAAAGGGGCGGCCATTTTGAATCTGGCCGCCATTTTGCTTCCGGCCGCCATTTTGAATCTGGACGCCATTTTGATTCCGGCCGCCATTTTGAAGAAAGACACGGCGGCCATTTTGAATCCGGCCGCCATTTTGCTTCCGGCCGCCATTTTGAAGAAAGACACGGCGGCCATTTTGCTTCCGGCCGCCATTTTGAACTTCAACGCGGCGGCCATTTTGACGGCGGCCATTTTGAATCCGGCGGCCATTTTGAATCCGGCGGCCATTTTGATCCCGCTTTTTTCCTCCCTCACCCCGGCCGCCATTTTGATGCTCCCGGCGGCCATTTTAACCCCCCAGGCCGCCATTTTGACTATCCTGGCGGCCATTTTGACCCCTCCGGCGGCCATTTTGACCCCTCCGGCGGCCATTTTGACCCCTCAAGGCGCCGTTTTTTCACCACCGGCGGCGGCGGCCATCTTGCGGGCGGCCATCTTGGGCCCCCGCCGGCGGCGCTGTCGCTGCTGTTCCTATTGGCTGTTCTGCTGCTGCTGACGTGGCACTTCCTGTTGGTGGTGACGCTCCTGTACCGGCACAGCCGCGCCCGGAACGCCGCCGGCGCCGCGCTGGGATGGGCCGGGTGGGCCCTGACCTACCGCGGGTGGTACCGGCGGCCGTGGGCGCCCGGCCCGCCCGGCTGGGGCTGAGAAACGGGGGAAAAATGGGGAAATTTGGGGAAATTTGGGGGAAATTGGGGAAAATTTGGGGGAAATTGAGGAAAAAATGGCGGAAATTGAGGAAAAAATGGCGGAAATTGGGGAAAAAATGGCGGAAATTGAGGAAAAAATGGGTTTTTTGAGGGGAAACTGAGGCAAGGTGGGGGAAACTGAGGAAAATATGGGGAAATTGAGGAAAAAATGGGGAAACTGAGGAAAAATTGGGAAAATTGAGGAAAATTTGGGGGAAATTGAGGAAAATTTGGATTTTGAGGGGAAACTGAGGAAAAATTTGGTTTTTTGAGGGAAACTGAGGAAAGTTTGGGGAAACTGTGGAAAAAATGGGGAAAAATTGAGGAAAAATTGGGAAAAATGAGGAAAATTCGGGAAAACTGAAGAAAGTTTGGGAAAACTGAGGAAAATTTGGGGTTTTTGAGGGGAAACTGAGGCAAAATTGGGATTTTGGGGTGAAACGGAGGAAATTTGGGGCACTTCCTGCTGGCGGTGCCGCTCCTGTACCGGCACAGCCGCGCCCGGAACGCCGCCGGCGCCGCGCTGGGATGGGCCGGGTGGGCCCTGACCTACCGCGGGTGGTACCGGCGGCCGTGGGCGCCCGGCCCGCCCGGCTGGGGCTGAGAAACGGGGAAATTGGGGGAATTTGGGGAAATTTGGGGGAAATTGGGGAAAAATTGGGGAAAATTCGGGGAAAAAATGGCGGAAATTGAGAAAAAAATTGGGAAAAATTGAGGGGAAACTGAGGAAAAAATGGGTTTTTTGAGGGGAAACTGAGGCAAGGTTGGGGAAACTGAGGAAAATTTGTTATTTGGGGAGAAACTGAGGAAAAATTGGGAAAAATTGAGGAAAATTTGGTTATTTGGGGGGAAACTGAGGAAAAAATGGAGAAACTGAGGAAAAATTGGGAAAATGAGGAAAAAATGGGGGGAAATGAGGAAAAAATGGGGAAACTGAGGAAAAAATGGCAGAAATTGAGGAAAATTTGGGGAAATTGAGGAAAATTTGTTTTTTTGGGAGGAAACTGAGGAAAGTTTGGGGAAAGTGAGGAAAAAAGGGGGAAATCGAGGAAAATTTGGGGGAAATTGAGGAAAAAATGGGGAAATTGAGGAAAAAATGGGGAAACTGAGGAAAATTTAGGGAAATTGAGGAAAATTTGGGGAAACTGAGGAAAAATTGGGGAAACTGAGGAAAAAAAGGGGGAAAATGAGGAAAATTTGGGGAAACTGAGGAAAAAATGGGGGAAACTGAGGAAAATTTGGGGAAAATTTGGGGAAAATGGAGGAAAATTTGGGTTTTTGGGGGAAACTGAGGAAAAATTGGGAAAATCGAGGAAAAACTGGGGAAATTGAGGAAAATTTGTTTTTTTGGCGGGAAACTGAGGAAAAATTGGAGAAACTGAGGAAAAATGGGGAAAAATGAGGAAAATTTGGGAAAATTTGGGGAAATTGAGGAAAAAATGGGGAAATTGAGGAAAAATGGGGAAATTCAGGAAAAAATTGGGAAGCTGAGGAAAAATTGAGTATTGGAGGGGAAAATGAGAAAAAATTGGAGAAACTGAGGAAAATTTGGGGAAACTGAGTAAAAAATGGGGAAAAATTGAGGAAAAATTGGGAAAATTGAGGGAAATTTGGAAAGAAATGAGGAAAATTTGGGGAAACGGAGGAAAATTTGGTTTTTGAGGGGAAACTGAGGCAAAATTGTGATTTTGGGGGGAAATGAGGAAATTTGGGGCACTTCCTGCTGGCGGTGCCGCTCCTGTACCGGCACAGCCGCGCCCGGAACGCCGCCGGCGCCGCGCTGGGATGGGCCGGGTGGGCCCTGACCTACCGCGGGTGGTACCGGCGGCCGTGGGCGCCCGGCCCGCCCGGCTGGGGCTGAGAAACGGGGGGAAATGGGGAAAAATGGGAAAAAATGGCGGAAATTGAGAAAAAAATGGCGGAAATTGATGAAAAAATGGCGGAAATTGAGGAAAAAATGGCGGAAATTGAGGAAAAAATGGCGGAAATTGAGGGGAAACTGAGGAAAAAATGGGGAAACTGAGGAAAATTTGATATTTGGGGGGAAACTGAGGAAAAAATGGGGAAATTGGGGAAAAATGGGGAAAATGGGGAAAAATTGGGGGAAATTGAGGAAAAAATGGGGAAACTGAGGAAAATTTGGGTTTTGGGGGAAACTAAGGAAAATTCAGAAAAAAATGAGAAAAAAATGGGGAAACTGAGGAAAAAATGGGAAAAAATGAGGAAAATTTGGGGGAAACTGAGGAAAATTTGTGGAAACTGAGGAAAAAATGGAGAAACTGAGGAAAGTTTGGGGAAACTGAGGAAAATCTGGGGAAAAATGGAGGGAAAAATGGGGAAAATTGAGAAAAAATTGGAAAAACTGAAGAAAATTTGGGGAAACTGAGGAAAGTTGGGGAAATTGAGGAAAAATTCGGGAAATTGAGGAAAAATTGGGGAAAATGAGGAAAATTTGGGGGAACTGAAGAAAAATTGGGGAAAACTCAGGAAAATTTGGGTTTTGGGGGGAAACTGAGGAAAAATTGGGGAAACTGAGGAAAAAATGGGGAAAAATTGAGGAAAAATTGGGAAAACTGAGAAAAATTCGGAAAAAAATGAGGAAAATTTAGGGAAACTGAGGAAAATCTGGTTTTTGATGGGAAACTGAGGCAAAATTGGGATTTTGGGGTGAAACGGAGGAAATTTGGGGCACTTCCTGCTGGCGGTGCCGCTCCTGTACCGGCACAGCCGCGCCCGGAACGCCGCCGGCGCCGCGCTGGGATGGGCCGGGTGGGCCCTGACCTACCGCGGGTGGTACCGGCGGCCGTGGGCGCCCGGCCCGCCCGGCTGGGGCTGAAAAATTGGGGAAAAATGGGGGGAAAATGGGAAAAATTGGGAAAATTTGGGAAAATTGGGGAAAAAATGGCGGAAATTGGGGAAAAAATGGCGGAAATTGAGGAAAAAATGGCGGAAATTTGGGGAAAATTGGGGGAAAAATGGCGGAAATTGAGGAAAAAATGGCGGAAATTGAGGGAAAATTGGGTTTTTTGAGGGGAAACTGAGGAAAAATTGAGGAAATGGAGGAAATTTTGGGTTTTTGGGAGGAAATTGAGGAAAATTTGATTTTTTGGGGAGAAACTGAGGAAAATTTGGTTTTTTGGGGGGAAACTGAAGAAAATTTGGGGAAAAATTGAGAAAAAATGAGGAAATTGAGGAAAAAATTGGGAAATTTAGGAAAATTTGGGGGAAACTGAAGAAAATTTTGATTTTGGGGGAAACTAAGGAAAAATTGGAAAAAATGAGGAGAAAATGGCAGAAACTGAGGAAAAATTGGAGAAACTGAGGAAAAAATAGGGAAAAATGAGGAAAATTTGGGGAAAATTGGGGAAAATTTAGGGGAAACTGAAGAAAATTTGGGGAAACTGAGGAAAAATTTGGTTTTTTGGGGGAAACTGAGGAAATTTTGGGGAAAGTGAGGAAAAAATGTTGAAAAATGAGGAAAATTTGGGGAAAATGAGGAAAATTTGGGGAAACTGAGGAAAATTTGGGGTTTTCGGGGGAAACTGAGGAAAAATTGGGCAGAGGTGGGGAAAAATGGGTTAAGAATGAAAAAAAATGGGTTAAAAACGAAAAATTTGGGTTAAAAATGGTAATTTCGGGGGAAATTTTGGGATTTAGGGGCGGGAAATTTGGGGAAGGGGGCGTGGCTTAGAGGGGAAATGGGCGGGGCTAAAATGGGCGTGGCCTAAACAGGGAAAAATTTAAATAAACCCAAAAAATTTGACGCAAAATCATCAAAAAAATTCAAATTTTGGGCAAATTTGGGGTGAGGGAGGGAGAAAATGGGCGTGGCCACGTGGGTGGGCGTGGCCAATGGGGGCGTGGCCTCAACATGGCCCCACCCCTTTAAATACCAAAAAAAACTGAGGCAAAAAAACCCAAATTTGGCTTTTTTTGGGGTGTTTTCCACCAGGGGGCGCCCCAGGAGCGAAATTTGGGGCAAATTCGGCGAATTTTGGGTTTTAAAAGGGGGAGGGGCCAAAAATGCAAATGAGGGGGGAGCGTGGGAAAATGAGATTTGGGGGAGAAACGGCGAATTTTGGATTTTTTGGTAAAAAATTAAAGGTTTTTTTGAGCCAAAATTGGGATTTTTTTGGACCTGAAAAATAAAAATATTTGGGCTCAAAATTGGGATTTTTTGGGAGAAAAAATTTGGAGTTTTTGGACCCCAAAATTGGGATTTTTTTAATTTAAAATTGCGATTTTTGGACCCAAATTTGGGGTTTTTTTAGACATTAAAAATGAAGATTTTTGGACCCAAAATTGGGATGTTTTGGGCAGAAATTTGAGAATTTTTTTGAGAAAAAATGTTAAATTTTTGGAGCCAAAATTAGGATTTTTTCGACCCAAAATTGGGATTTTTTTGGACATTAAACATGAAGATTTTTGGACCCAAAATTAGGATTTTTTGGGCAGAAAATTGAGAATTTTTTGGAGAAAAAATGTTGAATTTTTGGAGCCAAAACTGGGATTTTTTCGACCCAAAATTGGGATTTTTTTAGACATTACAAATGAAGATTTTTGGACCCAAAATTGGGATTTTTTTGACCTAAAATTGAGATTTTGTGGACCAAAAATTGAGATTTTTTTTGGACATTAAAAATGAAAAAATTTGGACCCAAAATCGGGATTTTTTTGACCCAAAACTGAGAATTTTTTTTTTGGACCTAAAAATGTAAAATTTTGGACCCAAAATTGGAGTTTTTGGGCAGAAAATGCAGATTTTTGGGGTGAAATTTGGGATTTTTTCGAGCCAAAAATTCGGATTTTTAGAGTCGGAAAATGAGAAATTTTGGGTGGAAAAATCGCGATTTTTGGACTTCAAAACTGGCGATTTTTAGGCAGAAAAATGAGAATTTTTTGGGTTAAAAAAGCAAAGATTTGAGGATGGAAAATGATGATTTTTAGGTGGAAAATGGCGATTTTTGGGTGGAAAAATGAAGATTTTGGAGACAGAAAATTGAAGATTTTTGGGG